CCGCCTCCATCTGCTCTCTCTGCCTCCGCCCCGCGCCGCCTCCTCAGGCCCCGCGAGGCCCTCCTGCCCGGCCTCGGCCTCCCGCTCCGTTCGCTCCTCCTCGCACCCGTCATCGTGTTTGTGCCAATGCACCTGTTTCCCACAGGTCGTCAGCTCACGGCTTGGCCCGTGGCCGACACGTCCCCACACGTGACCCAGCGTTTGGCCCAAACAGATGCTCAATTCATCCTGAGAGAGTCCGTGCGTGAAAGAACCAACGGCCAACCTCAGAAGAGCATCAGGGTATTTTTTGGGGGGCGGGGAGGGTTAATCCTCACTTGAGAGAAGGTGGAAGGGAGTGGGAGAGACAGAGAGAGAGAAACATCGAAGTGAGAGAGACACAACTGGTTGCCTCCCGCACGTGCCCCGACCGAGGTATGTGCCCTTGACCTTAGTCAAAACCAGGACCCTTCAGTCCACGGGCTGAGCCAAACCGGGCAGGGCTAGGATTTAAAATTGGATAATAATTTGCAAAACATCTTTGAATTCACGTCTTGACAGAAATGGGTAGATTAAGGCCTCGCTCCCTGCTTCACCAACAAAACAAAAGCAGCGGCTGCAGCAAAGCAGCACAGCCCCCCGGGAGACACGGGCCATGTGGTCTCCATCCTTGCAACTCAACTCTGCTGTGTTTCAATAAAACTTTATTTACAAAAACAGACAGAGGGCCGGGTAAGGGCTGCAAATGCTCAGGGGGCTCTGACACTGTTGCTCACTCACCAGGCTGTCAGGTGGCACCAACGCCCGCCCCTCTGTGAGGCCGGGAGACACGCCCCAGGGCCACCTACCAACTCGGACCGAGACCTGGCCACGGCTTCGCCAGAACCTTTAATAACAGCGTTAGTCCAGGGCCCCGGGGAGCGCATGCCACGGGGAAGAGGCAAGACCATATTAAGAGAAAAGCGCAGCCAAAGAATTTCCTTCAATCAACTAAGTTCTTGACCAGGAGCCAGAGCACACACAAGGGAGGGCCCGTCGGGTGGCTGGGAGCGGAGACGGCGCACATTCCGAAGGGCCGGGCACCGGGAGGGGCCATCCTCCCCGGACAGAGGGCCCCTCCCCCGCCATCGCCCTGAAGACGTAGAAATCAATGCGGTGATGGAACAGCGTGGGGCGTGGGGCATCTTTAGCCAACCCGCCTGCAGGGCAGCCCGTGCGGTCAGGGAGGGCGAGAGGGGAGGCCCCGGGAGCCCAGCACCCAGGGAGGGGACGTCCCGCAGGCCAGGGAGAACCACAGTGAGGGGGGCTGTGCCCGCAGGCCACGCCCAGGCCCTGGGCTGCACGA